GGTAACTTTTGTTTACACCAGGTTAAGCAGAAGACAACTACAGCACTCAGGCGTACGTAGGCGCTTAGATGATGGATAGAAAGAAGCACTCAAAGCACATTTGTTTGCAATTCGCTTGAAATAAATACAGTGCTTTTAAATCTGCATTGTTAGGAAAATGCCATGTCGAGAGAGCTTAGATTACGTGTACAGTGAGAAATGCATCGGTCTGCCAGCACCTGCATGTGCAGTTCTGTAGATGACTTTTCATATGGTCCTCAAAGATAGAATTTTCACTGGCTACCTCATCGATCGGTCTCTGAGATAACAGTGAGCATTGAAATCACCTGCTAAAGTAAACGTATTGGGTAGCGTTTCTGAGACCATGACGCTATTGTGCTGCCATGCCAGGTGCACCCCGCTGTCAACCACCGCTATCTTCGCTTGCCATTCGAGAATGCACTTGCAACGGACAGCGCCGCCACGCAGTGCATACAATCTAGTTTCTCCGCCGCGCTCTGGGGAAAGCGCGTGTTCACTGCACTAGGGAAACCTTTCTAGCCACTATACCCGTATGGAGGTCTGGTATCTCAAACAGGAAGTCGATGCAGATGGGCACCATAGCCCACAATCCTTTGCGTGAGTCACGATTTTGCGATCCACCTATTACAGCACCCGCTGGCTTCTCAGAACTGTGGATGGGCCATTCAGCGCAAAGGCAGCAAGCCACCTGGCCAAGCTCGGCACACAGTGATTGCATAGAGCAGCGGTGACTGCGACTAGCAATTTCGTGTGTTGGTGCTCCAAAACGCAAAACCAAGCACTTTGTGCACCACTTTGTTGTTGCCTTAGCTAACTGACCATTAAAGACCGGAGATCGGCAGCCTTCATTCTTGAATTGGTACATTGATATTTCGACTGTGCGCCGTTCCCGTCTCGAAAGTATGCCAAGCGATGTTTGAAGTGGGAAGTTATTGAATTTGGGATGTTCATGGTAGAAAAGTCTGCTATAAAGGGGTCCTGACCCCCTTGTTGGCCTCACATTTTAGTCAATTATAACCGAATGTCTGTTGTACCAGAATGCATACTACTCAATCAATGGAACAAATAGGGGGGTCGGCATAGCAATGCCAATTGTTATGTAGTATCCGAATGTCTGTCGTAAGCAGATCTGTTGTAATGAGGTTCTACTGTGATTACAATAATTAATTGATTTGACAAGTGGGGTTTAACGTCCTGAAGCTACCATATGGTTATGAGAGACTCTATTGTGGAGGGCTCTGGAAATTTGGACCACCTGGCATTTTTTAATGTGCACCCAAATCTGAGCACACAGGCCTACAGCATTTTCGCCTCCATTGAAAATGCAGCCAGGATTAGATCCCACGACCTGTGGGTCGCCAGCCTTTGCCACTAGACTACTGCGGCGAGACATATGTACACACCAACTTTGAAGATATTCAGGAACCAGCCACTTCGATCCTGGCTTTCATAACTTGCTTATCAATCATAATTGATAAAGGCAGCAAGAAAAGATACATCCACAAAGGAGGCAATGCACGATACCTGCGCTGAATTTCAATTGCTTTGTAATTGAAGACACATGCCTCGGACAACCAATGCAGCCAGCACACCTGTGCCCGCAGAAAACTACAAGGAAAAAGAAATTAAAACATCATAATTGCTCTAGCTTAATGTTTGTGTCTATTTTCATGGCTTTCATCAAGTTTAGTATAAAAAACTGGCCCAGCAACAGCACTTGTATTGAACATTTGCTCATTAACTTTTCATTTGTCTGGCAGCTGTTTACCTGGTCTTGCTGAGCCCAAGAGTGCCACGGTCATTTGTTTGTCCTACTGTCGCTGGGCAGCCCAGCACAAAACATGTCTACATTGTGGAGGTGAAACATGTGTAATCTCTATTACTGTGTATTACAAAATCTGGACTCTGTTCCTCAATACCATGCAGTGATGCATCTGATACGGCATGCGGATATAGTAGCAGCCATAGCAGCGGCTGCTTGTGGTAGAGCCACGGAACAAAGAGGCCTTTTCAAACTCAAGTAGTTCTTTGAACATTGCATGTGAATACATTGAGGATTTACTGCGAACTCTGCTTAAGTGCATGCTGACTGCCCATTGCAAATTTGCGTCTCGTGACGAGCGCTGCCAAGACCAGCAAAGCCCAGACTAAATTGCAGCTGTCTTGCATGGAGCGTTTGGGAAAGGTGTGGAGCACAAATGCTGTGGCGGAAGAGCGGACGGCTCGGACTTTCTCGATGCGGGTGCACTACTAAACGATGCACTACTATATGAAAATCACCGCGGATTGTTCATACTCGTGTGCAGCCCACCGCAAACTAAGCAGACGCCGTCACTGCCGGGGCACTTGCTGTACCATAAGTGCCGTAAACGCCGGCAGGGGGGTGAAAGAGGTGCATATGCCCCCCACAAGCCGCACCAGTACTGGCCCTCACCCACACTACACCAGTGCTTTCTCGTTTCCCAGCCGCGATACACTTCCTTGCACCACGTAAGAAAATGCATGCATACAATGGTATGCATGCATTTGTCACGAAAGTGTTCTTGCTGTCCACTCCATTCCTGACTGCTCACTTAGCACTCTTGCAGAAGACAGCTGTATTTGGGTTGATGCCTATTAAATGTGTGCAGTATGCTTACAACTGCGCTACACCACTTGTGCTACCAAGCAGTTAGCTGAAGATGCTGTTCATTAAGGGAAAACAGCGAATAAGTCAAGCTGGTGTGCTCACTGTGTTGCCGCAGTCACGTCTTTGATCAATTCCACCACTTATTGGTGAAACCATCGCCGCACTGCACCGTGATAGTGGCTTTTTCGGATTTTTGATCTGCTTTACCACAAATAACTTAAAGGGCCCGTAATTCACTCAGAAGTCAAAATTCAGTTGGCATGGGGAAATCGTACACGAGTGTGCGACGAACACGGCCGTGAGAATTTTTCAAAACAGTGTCGTTTGGGGAGCTAGGCGCGTGTGAATATCGAAACTGCGACAATCCCTCCTTTCGCTCTGTCCTGCACTACCCTCCATGGTATCCTCTTCCAAAGCTGCTTTGCCCTCTCGCCGAGCGTCCCTCCCATGCCCCTCTCTATCTCATGTCGCATATGTCATCGCTGGTGCACTGTTTGAAACACCATCTACTTCCGGTTTCCAGGACTCCGTCAGTTGCATTCACGATGGACCCGTACGGGGACACGCCATGCCAGACAATCTACGCAGCTGATTCATGAGCGGGCGCACGAATGCGGGCAACACGTGGACAGCTGCCTGCTGACTGACCGGAAGTCGTAGGCTCTTACTCGACCAATCATAGCATATTTGGATCTGCATGTCGGAGATATTGGAACGGCACGTCATGCAGAGGCACAAAAGGCCCGCAAAGAAGGAGAGATCGTTTCTTGGAATGTGGGCGCGGTGGCGGCTCGTAGCGCTGCCACGTGTAGAATTGTTTATCACGACGGCATTCTGCACAAAATGCGCACGTTTACTTGAAACGTTTCAAAAAATATCGAAGATGATTTACGGGCCCTTTAAGAATTGCGGCAAAGCTGACTTTGAGGCATCGCTACGACGTCAAGCACATGACTTGCGGAAGTGCTCATTCAAGCCTACGGAAGCGGAGATGCAGCACAGGTGGTGCCTTTATTTAATTCTGTTTTGAACATGACATTTCAGTAAGAATTTCATAAAATCAAGATGCTGAGAAGTGTCACTGTCTGAAATTTCAGATTTTTTTACACATTGTCATGCAAGGGCCTTGTGACGGCGGCTTTCAAGCGTGTCTGAAAAATCGGGAGTCGAAAAAATCTGCAGCTGACTGTGCAGATATATATGTGGCCAGCATGCATGTTGCTGGGTAAACACAGGGACGGCTACAAGATGTCACCAAGACGCTTCATGATGCTGCAGCTACCGGAGACAAGTCCAGGAAACATTCTGTACATCATGATGAAAGCAGCGACATTTTCTGTATGACACTGAAGAGCACTCCTTGCTGGTACATTGATAAAGATAGGCTGACTCCCAAATGGCCTGACTATTTTCATGGGAAAGATTGAAAAAATCTGACACAGTCTCTGATGGTCGTAGGCTGCTTTTTAAGAAGCATGTATGTTCAATGAGCTCAGTATGCGAAATGTGTTAATTGATATGTGGGGTTTAACGTCCCATTATGCGAGGCGCCGTAGTGGAGGGCTCCGGAAATTTTGACCACCTGGGGGTTCTTTCACATGCACCCAAATGTGAGCACATTGGCCCACAGCATTTTTGTCTCCATTGAAAATGCAGCCGCAACAGCCAGGATTCGATCCCGCGACCTGCGGGTCAGCAGTCTTAGCCACTAGACTACCGCGGCATGGCATACGAAGTGTTTTTTTTTATTGCTATGGCACTTGAAAGGGTGAGCTTCTAAGGCACATCTCTTATTTTCCTTCATTTTATTTCCATGTTATTACACTGTGTTTCTGGGATATGCTATGTACAAGTATGTACAAACATCAGTATTGTACAATCATGCCAATTTGAGTCATCAATTAATAAGTTGCTGTGGTTCTATATGGTGCCATTGGCTTTGTTTACTGAGTGCAGTCAGGTTAGCCGTGGGTGACTTGCACATTAATAGCGTGCAGCACATTGTGCTTTAATTGGTCATCTGTAATAAATGCAGTAGGCGTCTTAAACTCTCTTCTAGCAACAGCTGCTCCGAAAGACATTTTTGCCTGCTCCAAAGCAACCTGAGCTAGTAGCATCATTATAACTGAGCTACAGCAGTGGTGATCCCCTGTCCTTGTGTTGGTTTAAATGTACGAGTGTCACCACTAATAGCCATGACGCTGCCTGTTGGCATCACTTACCATGTGCATTTATTACAACCTGGCAACTCGTAATAATAGGAGGCAACCTTTTTTTGTGAACTGTGTCATTTGTGCTTTTATTGTGGAGAGTGTGACTTTGATGAAGTTCCAATAACTCTTTCCTGCAGGCCCAGTTTGATGCTAGTGAAATGATCACCCAGCGAGAGGTGGTCTCCCAAAAGGTGTGTGACGAGCTGACAGAGCGGGCCTCTCAGTTTGGCGTTATCCTGGACGACATCTCAATTGTGAGTTGGGCATCTGTTAAATAGATGAGGGACATCTTTTAGGGAGGGGGGGGGGGGGGAGGAATCTGCACTTTGATATGGTGTGGTCAAGCACAAGTTAATGTCGTTAAATAGTAAATTCATTTTGACTGAACTGATATTGTAAAAGGAATGTCGGGGAGGGGGGAATTCATTTCTGCTGTTTGTTTTCTTGGCGACCAGACTTTGGGCCAAATTTATAATTAAGAGGGGCTGTGCAACAGTTTTGCTAGTAATCTTGAAATGACCTCACTGTCAGAGTTCTTTGCATTGTTCATATCTTGCCATAAGAATTTTTACAGTCCCTCAGGCATTAATTAGAACCAACAGGCACGAAAGCCAAGGAAAGTATTGGGGATGGTATTTGTAATGCAAGTGTGAAAACAAGTAAACTGGACGAAAAGGTAGCTTGCTCCTGGCAGGTACCAAACCACTGGCTATGGTGGCAGTCCCATCCACTTATAGGGTGTACATGAGCGTTAGCGCTGCTAGAAGCTGTGACCACAAGTGTGGAACACTCCTTTTTTTTTTTTTTGCCTGTTGGCGTGATGTAGCACGTGATCTTATTATAAGCTGGCTTCCTCTGTCTAAACGAGACACTCGCTATGAATGAACGAAACAAGGGAAATTTTAAAGGCTCATTTTTTTTGCTAGAGATAACATTAATTACAGAGTTTGCGTGGGTCCTTGCAACCATTGAATTTTTATTTTTATATTTTTAATAAACATAGTCGCTCATTGCACAGCCCATTATTTGTGATGCCGTAAATGTAGCAGGTGGCATATGTAATGTCCACATCATAATAAAATTGAGGACAAAAATAGCTTCTGCAAGGAACCAATATCATACATTTTTAATATTTATGGTTTTAATTACCAAAACCAATAGATGATTTGACCGGCACCATAGTCGAAGGCTCTGGAAATTTTGACCATTTGCTGTTATTTAACATGCACTGACATCACGCGCTGCACGAGTCTTGACCATTTTGCCTCCATCGAAATGTGACCACCGCAGCTGGTATTGAGTACGCGACCATCGAGTCTGTAGCTGAGCACTGTAACGACTACCCCACTGCGGGGAAGGACAGTGCATATTTGGAAACTCGCAAAAGGCAGGAGGATGAGAATTGCTTTGAGAGTAGGTTGAAATGCTTACAAAAATGAAAGAATGAAACTAGAATTCACTGTTAATAAATTAACAGCTACATCAGACTCGTATGCAGGGGAGGCAACTGACCCGACATGCATCATTGAGTCAAACAGGCTAGAAGACGTGCCAACGCCAAGAAGCAGGAGAAGTGGACATTGATACGAAAATTCAGGAAAAGCAGCAAGGAGCAGTGTATTAAAGCTGTTCCTTAGTTTTGCCTATCTTGTGTTTGCATACAACGTGTGAAATTCTGAAAGCGATTATCGGTGCAACTCTTGGAAACTGATTGATTGAAAGTTGTCTAGAATGAAAATTTTATTGGAGCAATGTTTTCGATGTTTTCTCCAACGACTGTCACTAATTTATTTTGGGAGTGCTTGCAAAGGGTTGAATTGAGAGAGAGATGCAGGTCGGCAGTAACACGGCAAACCCATTTTAATATTACACAAAACGGCAAACAATCTGAAACTCAGAATTGGCTCCCAAAAAGGGACATGCATATAAAAAATAACTGGCTATACAAGCGAAATCAGAACTAATATAAATTCGAGTCAAATTCTATCCCTAGCCCTTATCTGTCTCTATTCAAGATAGTGCCTCGGGGGCTACACTCATTTGCTCCCACAATAATACAGTCGAACCTCAATACAGTCGAATCTCATTATTTTGAACACGCTTAATTCGAACTTCCAATTAATTCAAACTCACGATGAGGTCTCGTCAAAGCTATGTGTATTCCAATGGGCGAAAACGCCCAGTAATTCGAACGCCCAAGCACTTCCGACGGTTAATCCGAACATACCGCACTCCGAAAATGCACTCGGCACCCCGGCCACTTCCACCGCAGCACCTGCGACACCTCAATACTGCCCGCGAAGAAATTAAAAAGGAAAGAAAAGACTGCGGTGGAATGTTTGCTCTCTCTCGAATGCCGATTTGCAATGCACCCGTGTCACGCTTCTCCCTTTTCTGTCCCTGCCACGTAAAGACCCTCCTCCTTCCAACCCCGCGCGCAAAGAGAGAGAGGAAAAAAAAAAAAAAGAAAGCCGTCGCTGGGTTGAATGATTGTGTGGTTAATGGAAAGGAAAAAGGCACTATCTTCTGCAGCCCTTGCCCTTTGTGGGAGCACGGCTCTGCGCCTTGAGGGGGGGGGGTCTCCCATGTGCCACGCTTTTCTCTTTCCCTTCCCTGCCACGTAACCATTTTCCTTTCAACAATGTGAACGTAGAAAGCAAAAAAAAAAAAAAAAAAACGGCCATGGAGTGTTGGTTATCTCCGAAATACCGATCTGCTCCTCTCCGCATGGAGACTCTTCTCCTTTTTCGTCACATGCGGGACATGCTGCGGCTGCATAGCGGAGAGCAGGAGGCTCTGCTAAGCAGCAGTCATCGTTGTCGTCGTCGTCTTTAGAAAGTGTCGGCGCTCGACATTTTCGCACACAACTTCTCTTGCCAGGAGAATGCTGAAGCTGAAGTAGAAATGCCTTGCAAGCTGCGTGCGAAATTCACTCGCTGCAAGGCAAACGTGTGCAGACGCGCCTCACCGATTACTTTAATTAATAACGGATGTCCTGTGATTTGTGAATAAATATGTCTTCTTAAGCTTCCCCCTTGTGTATTAGCTCAATGTACATGCGCCACTGCATGTAGAGCCCTCCGTTTATTTAGCTTTCATTAATTCGAAGAAATTTTTGGGCTCCTTCGAGTTCGAATTATCAAGATTCGACTGTATAACTAACATGGATGTAACAAATTATTGGCTATGTCAAACTACAGACAGAAAGTATAAAGAATTGCATGTACTTTGGCATTTTTTGTAGCGAACTCGAGCGCGCAATGGATATACTGAATTTCCCAGACCGGAATACAAGTTCTCCGGGAGCGCATGTTCGGGTTCTTCGCAGCACAGCGGCAGCTAGGCGGTCGCGCGTTTACATCCGATGCGCCTTTAGCGTCTAGGTGGTGTAGCGATGTAGACGGCAAATTATTTTTTTTTATGGCTTCCGAGATCGGCAAGGTTCACTCTCTAAAGATACAAATACAGCCGTTCTTACTGTTGATTTTACAACTTCTACTAAAGTCTCATAAGCCTGACGCGCCAGTAGAATGGAGCGGCCTTGACGATTGACTGCGTGGACGAGTCAGTTTGCACGCTGCCATTCCTGGTTAGTGGTTGCTTTGTTGTTGAGTGTGTAAGGGGTGTTTTCTTCATTTGCAAGTTTTTGTGGTACTAGGCGGTGCTGCATACCGTCACCATGGCACAAAACGGGAAGAAACAGACTGCCTTGACGTATGCGACGAAACTAGAAATTATTCGGGGTGTCGAAAGAGGTTAAAGAAGTCGGTCGTTGCTTAAGCGCTCAAAATAACCCGCAGCACATTAAGCATGGTGCTGAAGCAGAAAAAGGAAATCTTTCAGCAAGAAGGCGGAAAACATGCCAACGCCCGGCGTATTCGACCCGCTGCCTTCGAACACATCGAAGAATGTTTACATAAATGGTTTGTCGACGGAAGGGCTAGGAATATTCTTGTGTAGGGGCCAATGCTGCAGCAAAAGGCAAGAGACTTCGCATTCTTCCTCAATGCCTAAGATTTTAGTGCCAATGCTGCGGGGGGGGGGGGGGGGGGGCTGCAATGATTCAAGAACCGGTACGACACCATCGTAAAAGCTGTCATAGGCGAAAGGGAGTCGGCGAACGCCGGAGCAATGGACAAGTGATTGAAAGAGTGGCCTCAAAGTCGTGCCAAATATCAACCAAAAGAAATTTTATGGCGGACAAAACTGGCCTCTTCTGGCAGATGGTGCCGCGCCATACTCTGGACATCCGCGGGCAGAAATGTCACGGTGGCAAGCAAAACAAAGCCCGGATCACAATCCTACTTGCCGCGAAGATGGATGGTTTGATAATACTTCGTTCATTTGTGATCGGCAAGTTCAAGACGCCTAGCTGTATGAGACGCGGCCGCGTCCTACCAGTCACCTGTGCTTCCAAGTGAAAATCAGTGAGGACACAAGAGTTTGGGACATGATTGAGGGAGTAGGATACGCAGCTTGAGGATGCGGGCAGAAAAGTGTGTCTTCTCGTCGACAACTGCTCGGCACACTTCGCAGATGTCAGTGAGCAAAATCGAGCTCAAGTTTCTGCCGTGCAACACCAGCTCCAAGTTTCAGCCTCTAGACCAGGGGATCATCCACGCCTTTAGAGCGATTTACAAGTGAAGGCTCATTAGTCTTCAAGTTATTGAAGACCTGAAAATTGAGTTGTTGGATGCCATACAGATGATGAAGGCCGCTTGGGAGAGTGTGAAGAAAGAGACGATTGCGTACTGCTTTCGGCACGCTGGCTTCATCGTTGGCACCGAGGCATTTGAAGAGCCCACTGAAAATGTTGAAGGCTCTGAAGAGATTGTCGGGCGTGATGAAATATGGAGTGATTTTCCACGGTTGGTGGGCGATACGTTGGACACGCTGACACTGGACTTTGCAGGCAACGACGCATTAGAGGCGGTTACTGAACTGACTGATGTGGAAATCGCTGTGAAGGTGACATGCAAGCAAGCCGGGATCGAAGCCGTAGAATTTGAAGCTGCCGTCTCCGAAAACATTTCGCCACCAACTTTTAGCGAGGCTTTGGCTGGTTTGGCTTTGGCGTGGTGCTATTGCAGCACGATGTAAGGCAACGGGCTCAAGTTTGTGGAATGCGTCAACATGGCAGAACAAGGAATTATATGGCACGCCATCAACCAAAAAAACAAGCTTTGCCGCGCAAGTTCTTTTCGCCTCAATAATTGTATTTTTGTTCAAGTGTCTTGTCGATTCCTGTCATGCT